GCGTCAACAGTCATGTTGTGGGTCAGGAGACTGTCGCGGGTGCTGAGCACTCGGCGCCTGGCGCTGTCCAAGGCGGTCAGTCCGTACCGCGGACCGGGGCGGGACAGGCGGGGGCCGAGGCGGCGGTAGGAGTGGGACGGTCCCCAGCGGGTGCGAGCGGAGCGGGCGCCGGGTCCTCGCGCCCCCGCGCCCCTGTCCCGGGATCGGGAAGGGGCTGGGAGAGCCCTGGGCCGGTGCGAGGCGGAGCCGCGGGGCGGACTCGGGGGACCGGGGAGCTCGGTCCTTAGCAGGTAGTCCGCGTCCCGGTGAAGGTCACGACCCCGCGGGCTTGCTGGTCGTCCCCTCTGCCGCCTGGGTCCGGGGACCCCGCGGGCTGAAGTGGCCCCTCGCCTCAGTGCCTGGCGGGTGGACTCGGGGAGGAGTCGTGTCTGCCCAAGGTCACTCGGGCGGATAGGGCCGTGGGCGTCCTCTGCTGCGGTTGTCCCGAGGGCGCCAGCAGCCCGTGGTGGGGCGGGCGCGGGCGGGTGAAAACCGCCCGGGTGGGTGCGAGAGTGGCGGGCTCGACCGGGTGGGCGCTCCGGTGGGATAGCCGCTGCGCGCCACAGCTTAGGGGCTTGCAGTTCCGCCCGCTTTCCAGAAAGCGCAAATCTGTGCGCTGTCCACTTCGCGACCTTGTAAGTTAAGGGTGTCAACTTTGGGTCGTGTTTGGTGGCCCTTGTGCCACTGAAAATGTGCCAGTGTTTAAAAGCAGCGCTGTGCCGGTTTTTAAAAATCAGACGGAGAGCTCAGCGCACTGACCGGGCGAGGACGCGCGGACCGTGCTTGCCGTGCGCTGAGTGCCTCGAGGGCCGGGCTCCGCTTCGTCCAGGATGACGGTCAGGGTTGTACTTCCCTGAGCCCTCGCTCTCTGAGTTTGTCTGAATGTGCCCTCCACGATTGCATCTTCAGAATCGGCCTTCTAGGGTTTTAGTTCATCAAGCTGAATTGGATAGGTTTCGTTGGCTTGGTTCTTTTGAATGAACTTACCCACCACCTCCTTAATTACGAAGTAATTTTATTTATTTATTTATTTTTTTTTTTTTTTTTTTTTTTTTTTTTTGAGACGGAGTCTCGCTCTGTCGCCGCGGGGTGGGGTGCCGTGGCAGATCTCAGCTCACTGCAGCTCCACCTCCCGGGTTCCCGCCATTCTCCTGCCTCGAGCCGCCAAGTAGCTGGGATTACAGGCCCTGCCACCTCGCCTGGCTAATTTTTTGTATTTTTAGTAGAGACGGGCTTTCACTGTGTTAGCCAGGGATGACGACAGTAATTTTAAATTGCAGAGTAAAAGTGTCAGTAGGAAACAAGGCATTCAGCAATATTTGATTTGAATTATGCCTGTAATTGCTGCAATTTTCTCTTTTTGAAATAGTTATTAAAAACCTGTTGAATTAAATGTGAAGTTAGTCATACAGCCATCCTGTCACATCAGAAAGCATGTAAACGTCTCTAGTGTGTTGCTGGTGCTGGTGCGACTCGAGGCAGAGATCCCTGCCGCATTCTTGGGCTTTTAAGAGCTGCTTGGAGGGCGTCCACAGGCAGGAAGTAAAGCCCATGGTCAGTGGGACTTTTTAGGGGAAACGTTAGCTTGTGATGGGAGAAAAGCTAGGGCTGGTGCCTTTGCCCTCAACTCAGACAGTGCCCAGTGTTCCTTCTGCAGCCTAAGAGCCCGCCAGCAGCGGAGGCACCTCAGACAAGATGGCAAGATAGCGAAATTGAACCAAAATTTAGTCTTGGGTTTTGTAAAAGTCTTTTTATCTTGAAGTTAGCGTTTCCTACAGAAATTCTGCCTGCAAGCAGTATATTTATCGGCATTTCAGATAGGTTTTTTTTTCCTGAAGAATTGCAGTTTACAAAGTAACAACATAATCAAATTAGCAGAAAAAAAGAAATTAATGATAGCCAACTGAGAAATGTGTTTGGAAAATAGATGCTGAGGATAATTTTAGTGAAGTCCAGAGAGAATTTTTTAATCTTATTTTGGCCAGTTCTGTGGTGTATTGATCATTCTGTATTTACAGCTGCTTTCAAGTGACGAGCTTATCAGACTTAGTTTTTGGTTTCTTTTTATGGCCTGGTGCACTGACACAGCTTGCAAACTGTTCCAAAGCAGTTTAATCAGAGGAAAAGTAAAACCAAGAAACTTAAATAGTTACTGGGTTAACTGCTTACTTCAGGTGAAGTTTTTCAAATCCGTGAGCATGAACATCAAATATATTGTTCTAAGACAAATTGATTTCATTTCTTTGAATGGTTTGCTCTGCATATGTTTAATGGTGTTCTAGAAATACATTATTTAGGCCATTATAGTAGTAAACATTTGCTTTGCTTCTTGGGATAATTGTAACAACAATGGCATTCCATTCTGCATTCTTCATGATGTTTTTCCTGATTTATTTGAAAAATTGTGGCTTGGTTTTGATATGAAACCTGGATATTAATATTAGCTGGGAGTCTCAGAGATTTTTCCCAAGGGTCTTTAGATGGGGGCCAAGTCCAGGATCCAGAGGCAGCTGGCCTCCTTGAATCCCCTCTGAGGTTCCGTCTTTCCGTGGGGTTAGTGGGATTCTGTGGGTAATGTTTGAAACCTTTGGTGGTGCTCTTGTGAACCAGGGCTCACAGCCTGTGCACAGTAGCCATGTGTGAATTGTATTTTAAGTATCCCTGTTTTTAAAACAATAAACACTAAAATTCTAGTGAGAATAATTACACGTAGTTGTAAAAGAATCAGTGAGTATACCACCGCCCCCAGTTCATTTTCCGTGAAAGCAATTCCTGTTTCTGATACCGACTCCTGGTGTTTGTAAGACCTCTGTTTCTTTAGCGGATGTGCAGGTTGTGCAGGTGCATTTTTATCAGTTTTAGACTTCTTGCCTGGAGAGGGGATTTAGTTCACTTAAACTACCCTACTTCCGCTTCTTCCTGATACGGTCATGCGTGTTTAGGTTCTTCGCTGGCTGCTTTTGTGATTGTGTGGGTTGTACATGCAGGTTAGTTTCTTGCTCGTGATTTATAGTTGCATTTGATTAGATGAGGACCCCTCACTTTGCTAGATTTCGGAATTAATGTCTCTGCACTTCTTACTTTTCTCCCTCCACCTCCTAATTCAGTCGTCTGAAATTCTATATTGTTAAGCAAAGTCTAATATTCCTTTTATATGTTCCCAATTTTTTTCTTAGAGGAAATGTTTGATAGTTTCTCCTAAAAAAATTAATAATTGGCACACAAGACTAGTCTTGTGTCAAAACTAGTTTTCAGTTTTATCTAAAGACTGAAATTGGCTTAAAGTTGGGCTTTCAAATTCAAAACTCTGCCCCAGATTAGATTTAGACGCAGAGGGTGAGTGTCCTTGTCCCCAGGGGATGGCGTGATAATTTGTTCACGGTTGTGTTATGGGAGCTGCCCCTTTTAAGCTGGCTTTGTGTGTGTGTGGCTGGGGGTGGGCAGTGGGTATTCCACGTCAGCATCCTAGAAAGAACAAATCAACATTTAGTGATCTCACTGTTTCTACTTACAGTTGGTGTAATACACTGTTGTTATTGGTGCTGTTACCTGTGTTAATAGGGCAGTTTACAAAAGTTTCAAGAACATTTGTATTAAAATTATTTCAAAGACTTCTTTCTTAAAATATGATTTTACCATGACAAAAATTATGTTAAGGTAGAAGAATATTTGTTCTTTCTCGTTTATTTTCTGAAAAAAGAAACTGAATTAGCTTATGTCAATAAAAATAGAGACTAGAAATTGGAGAAATGGAGAATAATTTTTTATTCCACATAATAAGTAATTTCTGAATCGCAAATATTTCTAAATACTCGAAGACATCTCTCACATCCCCTCTTCTGATTGCTGAGTATATTTATTTCCTAAAGCTTTTTTATCTTTTCTTTTCTTTTTTTTTTTTTTTGGAGACGTTGTCTCGCTCTGTCGCCCAGGCTGGAGTGCAGTGGCAGAGTCTAGGCTCACTGCAACCTCTGCCTCCTGGCTTCAAGCGATTCTCCTGCCTCAGCCTCCCAAGTAGCTGGGATTACAGGTGCCCACCACCATGCCTGGCTAATTTTTTTGTACATTATCTGGAAAGATTTGTTGAGTACCTTTTCTGTGCCAGATATGTTAGGTAATAAGCATATTACAGGTAGCCTGTCACTCACGGCTCCAGTCAGCCCTTCCTGGAGTTCCCTCTGTCTCCACCACACAGATGAGGAGACTGAGGCTGAGGGATTGAATCACCAGGCGAGTCAGGGGAGGTTCGTGACCCAGAATCTGTCGGGCCTCGCTGCTCCTCTGCTGAGGTCAGCCCTCACTGGGAGTCACCACGTGAGGAGTTGGCTTTCTCTGAATCCCCCAGTGGGTGGATTTGGGCCTGGAAGACAAAGCTGGGGCTCCTGTTTGTGGCTTGTAAGGAGTGGTTGGTGTTTCCAGGGAGGAATCAATGCTGCTCTGGGGAACATGGAGGAGGACAACTGGAGGTGGCATTTCTACGACACCGTGAAGGGCTCCGACTGGCTGGGGGACCAGGATGCCATCCACTACATGACGGAGCAGGCTCCCGCCGCCGTGGTCGAGGTGATGGGCGGGGGGCTCTGGGCGCCCTCGTCGTCTGTTTCTAGTCAAAAAGAGTCCTGGAAAGCATGTAAGCAATTGAGGCAGATGTGGCCGGCCGAAAGAATGGTGATGAGCAAAGCTCACAAGAGGAGTCTTTTTCCGTCACGAACTGTGCATTACACGTAACAAGAAGACTTCTCTTTGATGAAGTGTTGACATTTTCATAAAATAGGTTACTTTGGGTTTGCAGATTTGTGTTAAAGTTGTTCAGTGTAGATGAGCTATGAATATCTTGACTCCTTTAAGGTAATAAGGTTTTTGTATGTTTTTATCTTTCACAGCTGGAAAATTACGGCATGCCGTTTAGCAGAACTGAAGATGGGAAGATTTATCAGCGTGCATTTGGTGGACAGAGCCTCAAGTTTGGAAAGGGCGGGCAGGCCCATCGGTGCTGCTGTGTGGCTGATCGGACCGGCCCCTCACTATTGCACACCTTGTATGGAAGGGTAAGGCCGCCCCCGGTCCAGCTGAGACAGGACATGTAGTGCTGGGGCTTATGGTGACAGTGGGGAATGGGTTAACGTGCCCAGTGAGTCCGCCAGAGATTATGTAAAAAGCAACAGAGAACAACGGTGTAGGACACATGCAGCGACTGTTGATGTGAAAGGACCAGGCATGTGCTGTGAGAAGCTGTCCCTAAGGCAATATGTTATTTCTTTATCTATTTTGGAAAGTTGAATTGATAATCTTATATACTAGGTTTTTAACTTGGGATATGTGATACTCAAAATATTAGAACAGAGCAAGCAGGCCAGGCACAGTGCCTCACATCTGTAATCCCAGCACTTTAGGAGGCCACGGCAGGAGGATCACTTGACACCAGAGGTTTGAGACCAGCCTGGACAACATAGCGAGACCCTGTCTCTACAAAAAGTTTAAAAATTAGCTGGGCATGGTGGTACATGCTTGTAATCCCAGTTACTCAGGAGGCTGAGGCAAGAGGATCACTTGAGACCAGGATCACTTGAAACAGTGAGCCATGTTCATACCACTGCACTCCAGCCTGGGCAACAGGAGACCTGTCTCAAAAAAAGAAAAAGAAGTATTTTAAGGCTGTTTTACCACCTCTGAGTTCCTGAATGGGTTGGTTTTGTTTTTTGTTTTGTTTTGTTTTGCTTTGTTTTTGAGACGGAGTCTCACTCTTCTCACGCAGGCTGGAGTGCAATGGCGCAGTCTCTGCTCACTGCAACCTCAGCCACCTAGGTTCAAGCGATTCTCCTGCCTCAGCCTCCTGAGTAGCTGGGACTACAGGTGCACGCCACCATGCCTGGCTAATTTTTTGTATTTTAGTAGAGACAGGGTTTCCCATGTTGCCCAGGCTGGTCCCGAACTCCTGAGCTCAGGCAGTCTACCGGCCTCGGCCTCCCAAAGTGCGAGGATTAGAGGTGTGAGCCACCACACCCAGCCATGGATTGTTTTAATATTAATTGTTATCACTGGACAAAGACTTGAGGTGACAATAGTTACTGGGTAATCAAGGTCAACTTTGGCATGGCCAAATAATATTCTGAACAGTATTGATTCAGAGTATTCAGTATTCTGAACTTTGTTGTTTTCTGATGAATAGGGACAGACCATTAATTTGCAAGTTGTTAGAACACCAGTGCCTTCTCTGTGGCTGAGTGCATGGACGAGTGTGTGGTGGGAGGAGAAAGCAGCTCCGTCCGGAGCAGGAGCTGTCATGTGGGGAGCTGGCCCAGGCTAACGAGGGCAACTCGCACCGGCTGAGGGAACAGCAGGTCCAGGGGCAGCGCTGTCCAGTGCCTACCTTCTCAGTGCTGGAATCTGCTTGTCTGCAACCGTCCCGCGTTGGGAGCTGCGTCAGCCACATTGTTGCTAATGTGGCAGGTGTAGCTGAAGAGCTGAACGTTTGATTTATTTTAATTAATTTAGTGGTTGTGTGTTGCCAGCAGCTCCCACCTGGGCTGTGACCCCATGGTCTGTGGACCTCACTCTGGCACCAAACTCTAAGCGGAGCTGCCTGTGGCCACCAGACAGTGTGGAGTGCCTCTTCGGGTTGTGTAGAAATAGGAAATGTGTCACCAAAGTAGGAGCTGTTGCTGCTGCGTTCTCTAGCGCACCTGCCTTGTCTGTGCTGTGCGGTGTGGAACGCCTCTCGGGCGCTGACAGCGTCCTTGACTCTGTTGCTGATCTCCTTGGATTTACCTGGTCCATTTGGATCAGGTTCTTTCACCTATTCACACGAGCAAATACCACCTTAAAACCTTACAGGTTGGCTTAACACTTCCTGCCCTTTTTTTTCCTTTCTTTTAGTCTCTGCGATACGATACCAGCTATTTTGTGGAGTATTTTGCCTTAGATCTCCTGATGGAGGACGGGGAGTGCCGTGGTGTCATCGCACTGTGCATAGAGGACGGGTCCATCCATCGCATAAGAGCAAAGAACACTGTTGTTGCCACAGGGTAGGACTCTAATTTCTACTTTATTTCATTTATAAAAATGAATAACTTTCATTTAGAGTTTCTTTATTTTAATGAAAATAGAGGCATTGTAGAATAACGGTTCAGACACAGGCCTTGATATAACCTTGTGAGGGTGATGGCCTCTCCCAGCCGTGGTTGCTCACCTGTAAAGGGTAAGGACGGGAGCACCTGCCTCAGGCGGCGAGAAAGCATGGCCCTCAGTAGACGGGGGTGGCTGCCATCAGGTTCACAGCTTACCTCTCCCGATTTGAGATGAGGAAACTGCGGCCCGAAGAGTCCCATGGGGGTTTCTGGCAAAATCCCTCTTGTTTTAGTGGGTACTGTGTTAATACTGATTCCTGGGATGGGTAAGTCCTTCTTCTCCACATAACGAAAATAAGTAACTTTAATTTTATACACTGTCAGTTACTTTAACCATTTTCAAAGTAAAAACTGTCAGTACAGCGAAGGAAAAAATCAGCAAAACTACAGGTTGGGAAAAAATATTTTCCAAACCTTATATCTAATAATATCTTAGTATCTAAAATAGAAAAAAAAACCCTACTAAAAACAACCTACTAAACCCTACTAAAAAACAACCCTACTAAAAATGGGCAAAGGACTTGAATAGATATTTTTCCAGAGAAGACAAACAAATGGCTAATTGATGTATGAAAAAATGCTCAACATCACTAAGCACCAGAGAAATGCAAATTAAAACCCCAATGAGACATCATCTCATCTCACTCCAGGTAGAATGGCTGTTGCCAAGAGGACAAAAGAGCAAGTGTTGGTGAGGATGTGGAGAAAAGGGGACCCTGTGTGCTGTTGGGGGGAATGTAAATTAGTACAACTGTTGTAGAAATTCCTCAGAATTCACAGGACTACCATGTGCTCCAGCAACCCCATTTCTGGGTGTATATCCAAAGGGCATGAAATCAGAAGCTCAAAGAGACACCTGGACCCCCATGTTCATTGCAATGTTGTTCACAGTTCCCGAGATGTGGAAAAAACCTAAGTGTTGTGTTGGTGTTTAAGGAAAATGTGGTGTGTATACACAACTGAATATTACTCAGCTATGAAAACGAAGGGAATCCTGTCATTTGTGACAACAGGGATGAACCCAAAGTCATTATGTTAAGTGAAACAAGCCAGGCACAGAATGACAGATACTGCATGTCACTTATATGTGGAATCTAAAAAAGTCAAAACTCATAGAAACAGAGTAGGACAGTGGTTGCCAGGGGCTGGGGGAATGCAGACTGCAGCGATGCTGATGAAAGGTGTGACTTCCTGTTACGAGGTGAACTTCAGAAGTTCTAATATACAACATGGTGGCTATAGTGAATATTATACAGCACGGTGGCTACAGTTAACATTATACAGCATGGTGGCTATAGTGAATATTATACAGCACGGTGGCTATAGTGAATATCTATACAGCACGGTTGGGCTACAAGTTAACATTATACAGCATGGTGGCTATAGTGAATATTATACAGCACGGTGGCTATAGTGAATATTATACAGCATGGTGGCTAGAGTTAACATTATACAGCATGGGGGCTATAGTTAATATTATACGACACGGTAGCTAGAGTTAATATTATAACTTGAAATTTGCAAACAGAGTAGACCTTAAGCGTCTGTATCTCCAAAAAAATGATAATTGTATGAGGTGATGGATTTGTATTAACTTGATTGTGTCATCAGTTCACAAAATATATCAAATCATCACATTGTACACCTTAAATATATACACTTTTGTTTTTTATTTTAATTCATCAATCATACCTCAGTAAATCTGGGGGAAAAAAAGCAAAATCCATAAAAATTTTAAAATTTTCATTATAAAAGTAGTATATGCTTATTGGGGAAATCTTTTGAACAGCACAAAGCTAAAATACAAATAGGGCCAGGCGTGCAGTGGCTCATGCCTGTAATCCCAGCACTTTGGGAGGCCGAAGTGGGAGGATCACCTGAGGTCAGGAGTTCAAGACCAGCCTGGCCAACATGGCAAAACCCAATCTCTACTAAAAATACAAAAATTAACTGGGCATGGTGGTGCACACCTGTAATCCCAGCTACCCGAGAGGCTGAGGCGGAAAAGTCACTTGAACCTGGGAGCCGGAAGTTGCTGTGAGCCGAGATCGTGCCACTGTACTCCAGCCTGGGCGACAGAGTTAGACCCTGTCTCAAAATAAATAAATAAAATACAAATGGAAGTTGTTTCCAGAGGTTACGGGTGCACCTACTTCTGCCCACACCAGCACCGGTGACAGCATGGCCATGATCACCAGGGCAGACCTTCCTTGCCAGGACCTAGAGTTTGTTCAGTTCCACCCCACAGGTAGGGCAGGATACCTTGCCTGGCAGGCGTTCCACTCACATGTGTCTTGTAAGCTGTACTTGTAAGCTGTAAGCAACTACTCATTGCTTCTCCATAGTTTCATGTGGTAACGTGGTTTTGAAGATCAGCTTTCTCAGCTCTCAGGTCCTCACTTCAATGTCATTTCCTTAAGGAGACTTTTCCCACACTTTCCTTCCCCTAAGGCAGTTTGGGCCAGCATCTTATGCATTTCTGAAGAGCCCTAAACCCTACGTTGGTGATACTTCTGCCAGCAGTAAAGCAGGGATTGAGGCCAGGCGCGGTGGCTCACACCTGTAATCCCAGTACTTTGGGAGGCCAGAGCGGCCGGATCACCTGAGGTCAGCAGTTTGAGACCAACCCAGCCAACAAGGTGAAACTTCATCTCTACTAAAAATACAAAAATCAGCATGGCGTGGTGGCATGTACCTGTAATCCCAGCTACTTGGGAGGCCAAGGCAAGAGGAATACTTGAATCTGGGAGGCAGAGGTTGCAGTGAGCCGAGATCGAACCCCTGCACTCCAGCCTGGGCAACAGAGTAAGACTCCGTCTCAAAAAAAAAAAAAGTAAAGCAGGGATTGTTCAGTGTCCCTCTTCACAACGAGGTCGTCAGCTCCTCGGGCAGGCACGTCTTCTCATTAGCTGGGGTGGCCCATGCCCAGCACGTGGTAGGGTCTCCATCAGGGTTTACTGAGTGAGCATTTTGAGAGCTGGGAGAATGCCATGGAACCCAGAAGCAGCACAGGCAGATTTCGGCTTTGTAGGAGAACACGGAGCTTCCGTGATAATGGGATGTAAAGTTAGGGCACAGCCGTGACAGAACCCCGTGTGACGTTCGGACATTGGGGCTCCGCCCACACGACCACTGAGGGAGCTTTTTGTGGGGAAGATGCGCTCATCTTGGGGACGTCTGACGGTTGAGCTTACGAATGTGCAATTTGGAGACATTAACACAGAAATGACAGTTGAAGTCTTGAGTTTGGGGGAGGTTCTTCAGAATGAGTCAGAGAGAGAGACACACATCTGCCTCTTGTTTGAGGTGACTCGTCCTGGACTTCTCTGGGTTGCTTTTCTGGCCTGTGGACGATGGAGACCCCTGAAGTGGTGCTCAAGAACCAGACCTGTGCCTTCTCTTTCTCTGTCAGTGTCAGCTTTCTGGTCCCTCGAAGGGATGAAAATAAGAAATGAATTTGTTGTAGGTTTTTTTTTGTTTTTTTAATTTGTTTAGAGACGGGGTCTTGCTCTGTTGCCCAGGCTGGAGTGCAGTGGAGCAGTCTTGGCTCACTGCAGCCTTTGTCTCCCAGGCTCAAAGGATCCTTCCACCTCAGCCTCCCAAACGGCTGGGACTACAGGCATGCGTTACCTCGCCCGGCTCATTTTTGAGGGTGGTTTTGTTTTTGGTAGAGACGGGGTGTCACCGTTTTGCCCAGGCTGGTCTCAAACTCCAGGGCTTAGGCGATCCTCCTGCCTCAGCCCCTCAGAGTGCTGGGATTATAGCCATGAGCCACTGCACCCGGCCTGTTGTATTTTTTTATTACTTTTTTTAATCAATAAAATGTCACTGAGCCCCTGAATTCTCTCTGTAATTTGCTTAGAGCTCCACTTCTCATGCTTTGTCTTCAATATGTGAGAAGTAATCCGCAGAAAAAAGAGCATTGAAACTTAGAAAATCAAAAGACAGGTGAGATGCAAGAATCACATTCTCGTTTTAAAAGCAAGATTGCCCTTTTTGTATACTAATAAAAATTGTAGCTTTTGAAGTACGTTTAGTTTCGGGTTTTTGATCTCCTTGGTTAAAATTCGAGAGCTAGGCATGCCCTGTTTCTCATCGCCTTGAGGAGTCACAGAGCCGCTGTTTGGAGCACAGACCGCCGGACTGCCCAGGTTTGGGTTTGAGCTGTGTCCTCAACTGCATGACTGAATGTTACCAAGCGGTAATTTGCTGTCACTGAGAAAGCGGGTAGTACTACCCGGAGTTGTTGTAAGACTTAAATGAGTTAACATGTGGAAAGCAGCTAGAACTGCCCCAGCAAGTGCAGTGTGAATATTAACTGAAATAATTATTATTACTGTCCTTGCCACTGTTTGGGTAATTTAGATATGAATTCTCCAAGCTCGTATTAGTCACCACAGTATCATAGTGCAAAAAAATGTTCAAAAATTAAAACAAAATTTGAGGCATCCAGCGTACACTGGGCTATAATCAGAGTATCGGCCAGAGGTCTGTGGGCCTTTCTCCTCGCTGGGGACACTGCTCTGCCCCAACCTCTGCTGCAGCTGTCAGCCTCGTCAGTG